ATATCCCTCAAATGCTAGCTTGTGATTTTTTATTCCTTATTCTTTATTTTTGCAGGCCACTATAGCCCCTCCAGTAACGGGGAAAATGTTTAAAGGGTTATTGGTTTGCTATGCAGTTGTGATTTCCACATTCTTCAGTGTTGCAATTTCTGGATACTGGGCATTTGGAAATCAGTCTCAACAATCTGTTCTCTCAAATTTCATGGTCAATAACCATCCTTTACTGCCTAAGTGGTTTCTTCTGATGACCAATGTCTTCACCTTGGTGCAAGTATCAGCAGTTGTCTTGGTAAGACGCATTCATGTTATATCATGTTACATTACATACCAAATTCATGAATACTTTATTCACCAAAATGGCGAAGATAGCGCTGGAACTCCAAGTAAACCTTGTTGATATGTTTAGCCAATTAACCTTGATGAGATTGTGATTCTAGGTTTACATGCAACCGACAAATGTTGTTATAGAGCGGGCATTTGCAGATCCTAAGAAAGACCAATTCTCGGTCAGGAATGTTGTTCCCCGTCTGATATTCCGGTCATTATCAATCGTCCTAGCAACAACCTTGGCCGCAATGCTACCTTTCTTTGGAGACATTATGGCATTGTTTGGGGCCTTTGGTTGTATTCCTTTGGATTTCATTTTGCCAATGGTTTTCTATAACCTCACGTTCAAACCCTCAAGGAAGGGCTTGGTCTACTGGGGAAACACAATTATTGCAGTTTTATCCACAGTTTTGGCCTTGGTTGGGGCAGTTGCATCGGTGAGGCAGATGATTTTGGATGCCAAGACTTACCGTTTGTTTGCTAACATGTAATACTAATACTAACACAGCCATATTTGTAGCAAACGTTGAGGTAATGTTTAGAAATTGATATGAAAGTGATGGAATACTTTATGAATACTTCACTTGTTAATATTTAAACAAGTGATTTGTCTTTTGACACTCAGTTTTATCGTGTTCAGGTGACGGTAAGACCTTTTAAACTCTGTCTTTTCCCCCTCTCTTATTGTAAAGTTTGGAATATCTCTTTCTACAAAATAAATAAATAAATAAATAATGATACGACAAAAAAAAAATAAAAAATGTAGTAGCATAGGACTTGTTAGTGTCGTGGATACTTGAAAAAGTATAGAGGGCTTTGAATGCGTTACTCTAGAGATCATTGATATTCTAGAAATTACTAAAGGTCGATGACATTTACTTACCCTTTGAATTAAGAGAATATCGCTGAACATCCTTCATGATTGTCAAGCAACAAAAAATACAAATACATATATATATATATATAGGGTCAAAACTCAAAAGCTCTAGATCGATAGAGAAACTATTTGAAATAATTATTTAGCACTTTTTGTGATATGATACATGTGAAATAAAAAAAATTATTAAAAAAAAATTGATTGAAAATTATAATTGTGAGGTAAGCAAAATAATATTTGGGGAAAAGTTGCTACCAAACACACCCCTGGATACAAAAGACTACGTGGTAAGAGTTGATGTAGAACAATGCAAAACGACAAATTCGAATTCTAATATTATTATTCAATAGATTATTTTGTGTTGATTTTTAGCCCGCTCAGTATTTGACTTGTTGTATCAAAAAGCGTTCAATCGGAAATCATATGCCCATCTTGCGGATGAGTTTCAACCTGCCGTGAATCAGAATGGCCATACGATGCCCGTGGTCCATGCGATCCGGATTTACAATTTCCCCGTGGTGACAAAATTTTTTTTTTTTTTTTTTTGGAAATAAAAAGCAAAGTTTATTAATAGACAGTTGAAAATTATTCAATGCGATTTGATTATTTGATTTGCAACACTGCTCTAATGGTAGGTTAAACATGCACTATAACAAATCATATTTTGATTTTGAAACTAATCATCATACTATATAGTTAATGATAGCTCCATCAAAACAGCTGGTCAATATCTCGATGCTGAATCATGTTGTGATGTAATATTCACAATGGCAAATCGGTTATGATAAACTTTTCTTCAGTTGTTTTTTTTTTTAGAATAACTTTTTCTTCAGTTTGATTTACAATAATTTAGCAAAAACTATTATATGTAAAATAGAAGAAATGAAGGAGCAGGAGAAAAAATACTTTTCAAAGTGTTACATTTTGAGAAATGCTATTTTAAATATTTAAATACATACTCACAAAAGTTTATGTTTTCCTTTTTTCTTCTATGTTGAGGAAAAGGATATCTTTTTTTTTTTTTTTTAAATGAACACGTCTCCAATACCTGTACATTTTACAAATGGCAATGGCCTTGTTATCATTTGCTTTAGATCTTACAAAATTTGATTATGGAAAGCAATCATGGAAAATAATCAGAATCACCAAAAGCTATTATATTTTGGTATCCTCCAATTATCAAAACTATGACATAAGTAGGGGTGTAAATGAGTCTAATTAAACCGAATATCTTAGTGTTCAAGTTTATTTGATTGTTTTAATAAATTTCAAATTTTGTTCAACTTTGACTTGTTTAGTTGCAAAATCGAGTTTGAACAAATTTTTTTTTTTTTATCAAATTTAAAAGTTATCGAACATAAAATATTGTTCAAATTTGATTTGAATAGTCAAAGAATCAAGCTCAAACGAAGTCTTACCAGGCGAAGGTCAATACGAGTTTCGATTAGGTTTATTCATCTTTTAGCTCTAGATATAAGTACTCTCTTTTAGTACATTCATCCGATTGAAGAACCTTCTGATTATAATGATACCGGCCGACTGCTAATTACTTTACTTTTCTAGGTGGAGTTTGGACTACCTGCCGTGCTGCAAGCTCTGTTTCTTTGTTTCTACGACTCCAAAAGAAGCACAAGGGTTACTTCTCAACCTCAAGTGGGGTTATTTTGTTCGTTTCCTATGGTTGTTTGCACCTTTATTCGGAGTTTGCATGAATATATTAGGGTACGATAATTGTCCGATTTGGACAACCTTATAATTAAGAAATTAATTTCTTACGAGATTTATCTTGGTGTGAATTGTTTGTATTTTGCTTTTGATTTATCCCCATGAACTTCAAGCTATCAAAAAATGGGAAAAGGGAAAAAAAAAAAAGAAAAAAACGTTTGATACGATCCAGATCTATTTTGTATTTAGACGTGGTATATTTTGGATATGAACCAAAGATTTCTAGGTTGTGCTTAACAACTTGAGAGATCCAAAACGAGGTTTATGAACGAAGAGTGTTGTCATGTAGCTCCTTTCTTTCTTTGTTCTGTATAACTTTTCCCCTAATCGGCTAATTCAAGGTTATGAATTGCAAATCGACCTTTTTTTATATATATATTTTTTACAAAGTCTGCTTGGATTTGTACAGAATAGAGATTTCAAAAGGCTGAATGACCTCTCAATTAAAATAATCAAGGCTAAGTAATTAACAATTGAAATTGCAATTGAATAGGGTTCCCATTTTCAATTTTTGATTAAGAGTGTACAGAGTTTTTTCCCGTCTCTTTTTAAGTTGGTACTTTTTGTGGATAAATTTCTTAATTTCTAATGCATGGTTCTTTACACATTTTTTTAACACCTTTTTACCTCACATATATCACATCATTACATTACAGTTTTATACAAAAACCCTGTAAAGCTCAAAAAAATTGCAATCCAAAGAAGATAAAAATTTTAAATTTGCCTAAAATAGAAAAGAATTGAAATTATTAGCAACTTGTCTTTTTAATTGTTTAACTACTTAGCACTAGTGAGTTGATAAAACTTGCAACACACTCCTTTCATTTGTAAGTTTGCTCCATTTGTTGAGAACAATTCTATCAAAAGAAGATTAGAAACTAGTAACGCTCTTATAAAAATTTCAAGTACGTATACTCCCTCCCCCCCCCCCCCCCCCCCCCCCCCCCCCACACACACACACACACAAAGAAAAGGAACAATAAAAAGAAACTAATGAATGTACTTTAGAAGTAAACACCGTACGCCCAAACAAATGTATTCTCCAAATTAACTAAGAGGTTGAAAGTGATGGTTAAACTACTACTTATCATCGTCCTGTGTTAAGTAGTTTTATCGACTCTTTTTGGAGAGTTATCATTAAAAAAGATCATTGGGATTAATGTTGGCCAGGGAACTCATGATAAGATAACTTGATAAGCCTCCAATAAACTTATAGTATCATATTAACATGCTTCTGACTTGCCAACAAATGGTACAATTACTCGTGCCATTTGAGCCAGTAATTTTATTTATTTATTTTTTACTGGGAGGTATTACAGCCTTTCGGCTATGCAGAGCCTTTCCCCAGATACACAATGAGGTGGTACATAGGAATTGATCACGGGTGCTGCTGGTATTTGGTTACTTTCGACCAATTGTGTTAATATATAAATAATAACATAAACCCCATACTGTGGCTCTGATACTAATGGCTGTTCTTAAAGTTCTCTGGGAAAGCTAACAGACCAGGGAATGAAGTAAAAGGTGGCAAATCTGACTAATAATGCCAAACCTAAGAATCGAGATTTTGTTAGTCTATGAAAGCCCCCCGCCCCCTCCTCCCTTTTTTCATTTAGCCTTCTGCACCATGAACATTAGGTTCTATTTAAGCCTATCATGAAGCATTATTGTTTAAAAGAACCAACTAAGCTAAAGCTTTTCATGTTTGATTTGATCCTTCCATTGATTATGCTGTACATCTTTATATGCTTTGACCCTGCTTTCTAACCTGCAAGATTTTGATAAAACTGCTAGCTATCACCATCTGGCATGGAGTAACTCCGAAGCAAAAATGAAAGGTTTCCCAAACCGAAGCAAGAATTGCCTTTGCACATTCGTGTTGTTCTCGCGAAGCAACACTCAATCAAAAAGCACGTGCATTAGATATCGCACTTCTTTATATATTCCAAGTGCTGCACTGCTCCGGTGTCAGCTCAACTGACTTTGCAGTAGTGCGATACTACTGCTGCTGCCTCTGCTTAATCTTCCAGCGGACTATTATTGGCTATTTACAAAAAAATAAGATCAAGAAATGGAGAGCCTTTCATCCGGGGCTGTGATTCCACCTGAGGCCTTCCAGGGTGGCCCGGGTGATGTTACCGGCCTTCTTGGATGTCTATGGCAGCAGGCGAAAGCACCATTGTTGGTGCCATTTTTGAAAATGATGGTCTTTTTGTGCCTGACAATGTCGATACTGTTATTCGTGGAAAGAGTTTATATGGGAATTGTCGTAGTTTTGATAAAGATATTCAGGTGGAAACCCGAGAAGAAGTACAAATGGGAGCCAATGAAGGAAGATTTGGAGATGGGAAATTTAGGCTACCCCATGGTTTTAGTGCAAATTCCAATGTGCAATGAAAAAGAGGTACTGCTCTTTTTTTTTATCTTATAACTTCGTGAATGCTACTATATAATTAGCAATTTTGATGCATTATTTATCAGACGTGTTTATTATAATGCTCATCATATTCTTGAGTGCTGCAACATTTGTTTTACGTTCAGGTGTATCAGCTGTCAATTGGTGCTGCTTGCGGCTTATCATGGCCGACTGATCGAATCATAATTCAAGTTCTTGATGATTCAACGGATCCTGCTATCAAGGTTCAACAACTTGCAAAACCAACTTTTATCAATCAAATAATTTCTCTGAATATATGAGGACGTAAAAAATGTAGCTTTCCGGGGCAGCAGTAGGCTAAATATAAATAGAGGAGTGCAACACTAAATTTTTGAAAAACTTCGAAGGAACAAATCTATCTCAGAGAGGATTATCTGAGAGTCAGAGAAAAAAGAAAAAGATGGCAAAGTGGAACTTCCGAGGTTCACTCTACTTCCTTGATTATGCGAGAGATAGAAATGTTAAAATGTGTTCCTCTTTTAAAATAGTAGCTGCAACTAACAAGAATTCCACTTTTACACTGAAATTCCAAAAAGTCCACCGGAAAAACTTTTTTTCATGCATCGCCAATCGAATACCTGAAAACTGGTTTTCTAACTTAATCACCTCACTAATAAAGGTATACAACTTTTTCTTTTTCTTTGTTCTTTTTAGAAAAAAAAAAAACTAATAGTATGACTCTACCCTTCTTTGTTTTGCCATTTAATGTTTCCAATAAAGATACTCACTTCGATCATATAGATATTACTTTTGCTATTTTTTAGCTCGATCAGCATCCTGGTTTTTTTGGGTTTTATATTGGATTCATGCCACAGGTCCCCAAAATACTACCAATTTTGAAAACCCATCAGCTTTGCATAGCATTTAATCATCAAATACGCTTCGGAAACTTTGAGGTTCTTTTTTTTGGCAAAAACTAGTAGGGTAGACCCAGTTTATGGGCCCCATCCGTAGACCCAATAGCTCAGAATTTAGCACACCATCTTACCAACCTACACAATGAATATGTGGCGAAATTTGATCCGCTAGGTCTAGTAGACCAGGTCTACCCAAATTCTTATTCTTTTTTTTCTGCTCCAAATTGAGATGGACTTGGGTTAATTGAAAATTACAGGCCTTAAAGGAGCAAGAGTGCAAGAGATGGGCAAGCAAAGGCATAAACATAAAGTATGAGATTAGAGAGAACCGCAACGGCTATAAAGCTGGTGCTCTTAGGGAAGGAATGAAGCATAGCTATGTGAAGCTATGTGACTATGTCGCCATCTTTGATGCTGATTTTCAACCTGAGCATAATTTCTTGCGTCGTACCATTCCTTTTCTCGTGCATAATCCTGAGTTAGCTCTGGTTCAAACCCGTTGGAAATTCGGTAGCTTCCTTTGATTCTGCAGATTACACTCAGTTGAAAGCCCTTCAATTTAAGCTGTAGATTGAAGTTTCAACTCGTCGACTTCCTAAACTGTAACTATAAATTTCTGGCTTTAATTGCAGTGAATTCTGATGAATGCTTGATGACAAGAATGCAAGAGATGTCTCTTAATTACCATTTCATTGTGGAGCAAGAAGTTGGATCCCGCACTTACTCTTTTTTTGGTTTTAATGGTAGGATCTCCCGAGAAAAATTTCTCGAGTTCTAGCTCTAACATTAATGTGTTAATCTATTTTACAATCTCGAACATTTGATCGTCATGTAGGAACCGCTGGCGTATGGCGAATTTCAGCACTTAATGAAGCTGGAGGGTGGAAGGACAGAACAACTGTGGAGGATATGGACCTGGCTATCCGAGCCGGTCTCAAAGGCTGGAAATTTGTGTATGTTGGTGAAGTCGAGGTACAGTTCAAAAAAAAAAATGGACCGTACGTTTGAAGTGTAAACTGCAACAGACTAATTTGGCTCGTCCATTATGTAAAGATCAAAACCCAAATTCCCTTAAATTTTGCATTATAGGGTGCCTGATATTCTGTTTGTGCGGTTCCCAATCAGGTGAAGAATGAATTGCCAAGTACTTTCAAAGCATACCGGCACCAGCAACATCGATGGTCCTGCGGTCCTGCTAATCTGTTCAGGAAAATGGCTATGGAAATAGTTAGATGCAAGGTTAAGGCATCTGTTTTTATCTTCATTTAGGGATGAGAAAGATGATTAAAAATCAACGCCACTCTTGACAATTCATGTTCCGTTAATGCAGAAAGTCTCTCCATGGAAGAAGTTTTATCTAATATACAGTTTCTTCTTTGTTCGGAAGATAGTAGCACATATGGTCACGTTCATCTTCTACTGCGTTGTCCTGCCTGCAACTATTGTGATTCCCGAAGTACAAGTTCCGGTTTGGGGAGCTGTGTATATTCCGTCTGTAATTACCCTTCTGAATGCAGTCGGGACACCAAGGTCTCTCCCTCTCTCTCTCTTTATTCTGCATGCCTGAAGAATCTTAGTTCTTTAATTAATAATGCCATATATAGTAACATGTTTTTGCTGCGTTTTGCTCTGCAGATCATTCCACCTAGTAATTTTCTGGATCCTCTTTGAAAACGTAATGTCTCTGCATCGAACCAAGGCCACATTCATAGGTCTACTTGAGGCAGGGAGAGTTAACGAGTGGATTGTCACGGAAAAATTGGGACATGTCCTACAGACGAAGTTGGGCTCTAAAGTTCCCAAGAAGCCTCGTTTCAGGATGGGAGACAGGTACAACTCTTCATCGCACAAAACTATACTCTAGGCAACAATACAAAAGGAAAAACATCATATATAACTTTCATGTATTGTCAGCATCATGAATTGAAAAATATTCTTCCATTCGCATGAATTGTTTAGCGATATGCAACGTGGCCTTCTATTCAAAATACGACATGGATTCAAGTTTTATATTGTGGTTGAATTTGCAGATTACATCTTCTGGAGCTCTTTGTTGGGTTTTACCTATTCTTTTGTGGGTGTTATGATGTGGCTTTTGGAAAGAGCCACTTCTTTATATACCTTTTCCTTCAATCAACGGCATTTTTCACAGCAGGATTCGGGTACGTTGGCACCTTTGTCCCTAGTTCTTACTAAAACTCTTGCAGCCTGGGAAAGAATCTTTTGGATTGTCCAAAGGACACATCTGTACCATTTTACTACTATTATTTTTCAGCTTCTCAAGTCAAATAATAGTGGCTGCTTAGTTCTTTTATGTTGTCAACGAGCATTTCCAGAGAATACTTTATCCGCACTTTCCCATGCAACATGCTAATAGACCTGGATTATAAAATCACAATCGCCATTACTTATTCACTTTGGCCGTCTAAAGAAATGTACTGCAATTGAACGCTAATTCGCTAAACTTGGTATGGTACCCTCTCTGTCTCTCTTGCTCCTCATTCTTGAAACAGAAGGAAGAGGAAACATGTTAATAGGGAAAATTGAGAAGCTGCTACTATAGGTGTTTACTTATTATAATTTCAATGAAGCATATTGTGTCAGCAAAATCGTGGAAAGTGCCACTTGCCTTGGTATCATCAAATTTTAACTTCAGGGAAGCAAATAGGGAAGTGATATTTGCGCTCCTAAATTAAAATGCAAGAAGCTAAAATAGAAGTGCGAATAATATCGATTCCCAGCAAATGGCATCCAGAAAGTACATTTTTTTACTGATTGCAAATTTGCGATTGCCTCGAGGTTCATTCAGACGAGTAAAAGCGCTCATATAGATAGCATCTTAAGGTTTTCAAAATGAAGGAAAAGAAAGATTCCAAGGTTTTTAAATAGGATAAGCAGCACGTCAGAAGCGAAAGAGAATATGCCCCCACCTAATTTGGGAATATTTCATCACTTAAAGAGGTCATTCTAATCTTTCGATATTCAGACTGTTCAATGACAATGATTTAAGAAAGGTAGGCAGCATGGAAGTGCTCACTCGCCCACGAAGGCCCCAAAAACCAAAATAAATACTAATTAAGTAGTAACACAAAACGTGAGGGACCAAATGTAACTCCCCCCCATTGCACAGGTGACATGCCCTGAGTTTCCAGTTTCTAGGATACTGATTTACAAATGGCAATTGGGATCAGTTCGTAACTCAAGAGATTTTGAAGTCAAGTTTAAGATCTTCACCCCAAGAGATTAGCGTTACTGCTTGCACTCAGATGATGCACGGATACCTTACATTTTCCATTCGAGCAATTTTATACTGTGTGCTAATAACTACTGGGAAAAAAAAATCAATCAGAAGCTAAACAAAGCAAAAACGGTTCTATAAGGTTAATGACAAAACCAACCCTCTGATCTCAACTTAAGATTTTCTCATCGCTGGTATTTAGTGGTTTAAAACAGCAAGTAACGAAATACACTCTCTCGTTTACCAGTCAAAGAGTAACATGCCAGCTAGTACGAATGATCAGTTGGTTTAGCATATTAAAACAGATGGTAACTTCAAAATTCCCACATGTTTAAGTAGATAGCATTCCATGTTTGCTCAGACAGTTGCACTCGGAAATTGTTAACGTTTGCTCAATAACAATTGAAAGTAAGAGAAAACAAATAGACTACAGAATCTACAAAATTGAAAATAATTCTAATGCTTGAATAAAGTCATTTCAGCATGGGCTTGAAGAGATGGGTAGGAGATGGATAGAAGCATCTTTTCCTTGTATCCCGAAAGAATTTTTGGAACACTTGCTGGAAATATATTCTTTATTCTTGATAAATATGTGAAAGACTTTATTGTATGTTTTATGTCAAGCTTCTAGGCTGCTTCTACTCTCTGATATCCTCCTTCTACTTTCTGGTAACCTTCAGAGACAACATCCACTATGTCATAATGTCCATATCCATGAAATAGAATGTTAATTGGACTCTCTTCATCTTTCTTATACTCTTCACCATACTTTGCTATATTTATTAAATTACCAGAGCTTCTATCAATCATAAACACAGAAATTGGCGCCCTGTGATGATAAAGAGAGAGTAAAATTTCAATAATCCACAAGAAATTTGAGTATTTAAAAACCTATCATGCTACAATATCAACAAAGCATATATGCCCTATGTTGCAAGAAAAAATATCCACAAATCTTTCACATGAAATGGTCCTTGCACTATACTGAACTCAAAAATATTGACAATCTTGGGTTTAGATGAACAGTCACTTAGTCAAAATTAGCTTTCCTTTTGCCATAATTCCTAAATAGGTATTTAGAATAGAAAACAACTAGCCACACAGTCTTTAATAATCACCAACCAACTTTACGAGTTTACCTACTCCTACTAGTTCTAAATTTGTTGCTCTTAATGCTCAAATGTTACAAACACCCTACCAACCACCAAAGACCAAAGACCAAAGTTGGATACGGAGAATAAGGCAACCAAAGCAAACGGTAAAACAGTATGAGCAAAAATTAAGACTATGAAAAGAGATAAAGTGAAAAAGCACTCACTTGAGAACATGAGAAGCCATTAGCAATTCTGGTTCCCCGCCCCATACATAAGGTTTTTCAATTCTTTCCACATATGCATCAAAATCTCCTTCAATAAACCTTAAGAACAGCACCAAAATATATCACACAAGCATAGCATCCAAACTCTCCATACATAACTAAATAATAATTAAAAAACTTAAGAACACTCACCATTCTGCATCTTTTCGCCTCTTTAACAACTCCTCAACAACCTACGGCCCGGAGAAAAAAATTCAGCAAATTGTTCAAAAGCAAAGGCAAATTCAGCAAAATAAAGAAACATAAAGAAATGAAGCTGTTAGATTATACCAGAGCTCTTAATTCATCAGCGAGTTCCCTTTGGCGGTTTTCATCAGGAACACTCTCCCCTTTTCTCAACCATGCCACGTGAGCTATTGCTCTAAACAGACATCTCCCATCTGCTGGCACCCCTGTCTCCATGCAATCATTCCATCACAATCATTGCATTACAACAAAAAACGGATTTCTATTCTTCCGATGATAGAGTAGTAATAAAGTTGGTGATCACAGCTCGGAATTCAAAATCTGGATTGCATATAATCGAAAATTAATCCATTACAATCATTCCATCACAGCAACAACAAACAACAGTGATGGAGTAATGCTAGATTTGGCATCAGAGTTCGAAATATGGATTGCATATAATCGAAAATTAATCTGATCAAACTCCATATAACTAGAAATCAGCTTCTCCAACTAAAATACGTGTAACTCTAAAAGTGATAAGAGCAGTAATAGAATACGTAATCTGGATTGCATATAATGGAAAATTAATCTCAAATTAACATCATCTATTCAAACTTCATCAAACTTTATATAACTAAAAATTAGCCGCTCCAACTAAAATACCTGTAACTCTAAAGTTGGCACACTTTCGATTTTCTACAACGGTCATTGCTGCTGCTTCATGTCTGAATTCATCCGTTTCCCCATCGACGAACTCAGATGAATCCGCTAACAGCGGCAATGGGGGCGCGGCTAAGCAAGCGCAAACTCCAAACAATAACCACGCAGAATCACGATTGTGAAGCCAGCGCGCCGGCCTGGCATCCCAAGCCACATTCCACGAGCCTTCACCTTTATTCATCAATTCATCGTGGTGGTGGACGAACACATTCCTCTTGGTTCGGTGGAGATCCAAATCCCCGTCACCGGCGGGAAGGATTGCATGCCATATAGACGCAGCGCCACCCTGAGCGGAGGTGTCGACGAGACGACAACTACTGGAGTGGTGTCTCCTTTGATCGGCGTTGGCAACCACTACGGATTTCAAAAGAGGGCTGCCAATGAGCCGATTGTGAACAAGAGCCGCTGCCGAGCTGTGGGCATGAGACAAGAATAAAGTAGTGAATAGCCAAGATTTAGGGCGAGCACATAGTGCACTGAGCATCACCGGAATATTATTCGATACGGTTTCCCTACTAGCCTGCTTTATTTGTGGTAAGATGTACTCCGGACGAAGGCTAGACGAACCAACGCACCCATCGGCAATGGGAACAAGATACTGAAGAAATGGTTACTATTGCGTATGAGCTGTGTTGGGTTTTATCGGAGGCGGGGGCTGGGCTTGGGAGTTGGTGACGGCGACTTAGAGGAGCGGAAAAGTAAAAGAGGAGTGCATCTTGTTGTCCGTGGGGCTGGGGGCCACAGTGGAAAAGGGCAGCAGCTCCTGCTGGCTGAGGTGTGAGCCTCTGAGGTATCTGCACACGCTATAATCGGCTTCCAGAGTCTCCGCTTTTTTTCTTTTTTTCTTTTTTTTCAATTGAAGGATTTGAGCCCTTTGAAGGTGGTTTGCGTCAAATGACCGGCTTGGCCTTTAGGTAAAGCTTCTGGTCGGATGCTGCCTGAGTGTTTGCCAAAGTATAAACTTAGAGAATTTTTAAAACCCTAAACTAATGATTTTAGAGCTTGATTTTATGTATGTATGAATGTAAATTTTAAAATTACAGTATCTATGATATTACTATAACTTATAAGTAAATTTTCGTATATTTTAATGTCTTTCATATTAGACGATTTTTTAAGTGATCCAATAGAATTATGAAAAGAATGAATTTATTGGAATTTGTTTAGTTAACCAAATTTAAAATTGTTAACTAACATCAACATGTTTGGATAGGTATTATTTGTCAATAAAAATTAGAAATTCTCTAAATAATTTTTTTTCAATAACATTTTCATCTCACAAACATTTACATTAATGTGTTATAATATATATAAAAAAGTTTTTTGGAAATATTCTTAAATCCAAACGCATTGTTAGAGCTTCGAATTCACACCCAAAAAAAAAAGGAAGCAAGTTTTAGAACATTTATTGGGCTGCGAATTAAGTCAAACTTTCAAATTTGGGATTGGAAATGAAATCAATTACTACTACTTATTTTCCATGTCCTTGAAGTGAAGGGTAAATTTGGTCATGTCATGAGAGGATGATGTAACAATAATCTTATGATAAAATAAAGAAAATATTATTTGTACTCAATTTTTTATTAATTACACTCTTATCATTTATTTTATCATACATTTTAATAAATAAAAATTATAATGAAAGTGAGATTGACAAAAACTGGGAATACACAAATAATTTTTTAAAAAAATACTTAAGGTGGCCGTAACCTCACGTGCACGTTGAGAAATTTGGTGAGTCACGTGCTCCGTCCGACTAACAGACAGCATCGATTGGTAGCTTTGATAGGCTGACAATTTCGTTGTACGGTAGATTTTCTCGCGGTGACCGGTGGGACGAACCCAATAAAAGTCTTTTTTATATTTTACAAAAAAGGGAAAAAAAAAAAACCTAATATCCCCTTTGGTAGC